AGCATTAAAAGATGCAAATACTGCAATAGCAAGTATAAGCACCAATTCACTGCAAGAAACAAACCAACTAATGTACAGCACAGCTGCAGTTATAACAGAATACCTGGGATGCAAAATCAACAAAGAAGAAAAACAAACAAACAGTGCACCAGAAAAATGGAAGGTTAGACTAGAAAATAAGATCAGCAAGTTAAGATCACATGCAAGCAAGCTAGAACAGATGAAAGAAAAGAAGCTGAAGAACAAGAAGACCAAAGAATACCTAATCAAGAAATACCACTTAGAAACAAGGAAGATCAAGGAAGCACTGGAAATAATAAAGCAACAAATAACAGCTATAGCCAGGAAAATCAGTAGATATGAAGCTCGAATTGCAAACTATAGGCAGAACCTCCAATTTCAATCCAATCAGAAACGTTTCTACCAATCCATCAATGGAGAAACTGCAAGGAATCAGTCAGTACCTGACAAGGAAGAAACAGTGCAGTTCTGGAAGCAGATATGGGATAACCCAAAGAAATACAACAAGGATGCGGCTTGGTTAAAAGAGGTGGATGCAAATAAAACAGAAGTTGAAATGAAAGAACTAGTAATAACAACAAAAATGGTAGAAAAAAGAGCAAAGAAAATCAAAAATTGGTCAGCACCAGGTGAAGATGAACTGCATGGGTTTTGGTTGAAACATCTAACTGTTATACACCCACTCATTGCCAAGCAGTTCAACAATGTACTACAAGGAGGAGAAATTGAAAAGTGGCTAACAACTGGGAAAACCTACCTAATAATGAAAAATCCAGCAAAAGGGGCAACACCAGGTAACTACAGGCCAATTACCTGCTTACCAACAACTTTCAAATTACTAACTGGTGTGGTAGCTGATGCAGTACAACAGCATCTAGTTGAAAACAATCTCTTTCCACCTGAGCAGAAAGGAAACCGCCCCAATAGCAGAGGAACAAAAGATCAACTCCTAATAGACAAAATGATCTTGGAAAACTGCAAGAGAAGGAAGACCAACCTGAATGTGGCATGGATTGACTACAAAAAGGCATTTGACTCTCTGCCACATGATTGGATAATAAAGTGCCTAGAAATAACAGGAGTCAGTAGAAACATCAGAAAATTTGTGCAAAGATCGATGGCACAATGGAAGACACAGTTGCAGATCAATGGTGAGAGACTGGGAGAGGTTAATATCAAGAGAGGAATATTTCAAGGAGATTCATTATCACCATTACTATTTGTTATTGCACTGTTTCCTCTGTCAACAATACTGAATAACTCAGGACATGGCTATCAAACATCAAAAACATCTACCAGACTATCCCACCTCCTTTACATGGATGATCTGAAGCTGTATGGAAAAACATCATCTGAAATAGAATCGCTGCTCAACACTGTCCGTATATATAGCCAAGATATTGTAATGGAGTTTGGCTTGGACAAATGTGCCACACTTACTATCAAACAAGGAAAAATAGTGAAAACTGAAGGAATCAAGATGCCCCACGAAAATAACATTAAGAGTCTGGATGAGGAAGAGTACTACAAATACTTGGGTATCCTTCAAGCTGACAACATCAAGCACACTGAAGTCAAGAAAAAGATTAGAGGTGAATACATCAAGAGAGTGAAGAAGATCTTAAAATCCAAACTCAATGGAGGAAATACCATAAAGGCAATCAACACCTGGGCAATCCCAGTCATTAGGTACACAGCTGGAATAGTGGACTGGACTCAAGCAGAACTAAAAGCAATGGATAGGCAGACCAGAAAAATAATGACAATGAATCATGCCCTTCATCCACGCAGTGACATTGACAGACTTTATCTACCAAGGCAAATAGGTGGGCGTGGAATGCTACAAGTACATCAGATGGTTGAAGAAGAAAAAATGGCTTTGGAAGAATATCTGAAGAACAATGATGAAGATGCACTGAAATTAGTATATCAGGAAGGCTTACTAACTACTGGAGAGACCAAACTGGCCTACAAGAAAGACCAAATGAAGAACAGAATAGAGGCATGGGAAGACAAAGCACTACATGGCCAATACATGAAAAAAATAGCTGGGAAAGCAGATAATAATAAAACCTGGCAATGGCTAAGAGCAGGAAAATTGAAGAAAGAGACCGAGGGACTAATTCTGGCTGCACAAGACCAAGCTTAAGGACAAATGCATACAAAGTCAAAATTGAGAAGACAGCAACAGACAGTAAGTGCCGCCTATGCAAAGAAGCTGAAGAAACAGTGGACCACCTGGTAAGCTGTTGCAAGAAGATTGCACAGACTGACTACAAGCAGCGGCATGACAAAGTAGCAACAATGGTGCATTGGAAGATCTGCAAAAAATATCATTTGCCTGTAAGCAAAAACTGGTGGGATCATAAAATAGAGAAAGTCATAGAAAATGATAAAATTAAACTGCTCTGGGACTTCAGAATTCAAACAGACAAGCACCTGCAACATAACACCCCAGACTTAACAATTGTCGATAAGAAAGACAAAAAAGTCTGGATAGTGGACGTGGCAGTGCCTGAGATAGCAGAATAGAAGAGAAAGAACTGGAGAAGATAACAAAATACAAAGACCTACAAATAGAAATAGAAAGACTGTGGCAAAAGCAAGCAAGGGTAGTACCAATAGTAATAGGCTCCTTGGGTGCAATCCCAAAACAACTGGAGCACCACTTGAACACCATTGGCATTGACAAATTCGCTATTAGTCAATTGCAAAAGGCGGCCTTATTAGGAACTGCTTCCATCCTGCGACGATACCTGTAATACCATCAAACATCCACATCTGCCTATCCCAGGTCCTGGGTAAGGACTCGATAGGTAGACAAAATGCCAAATCCAGTCTGAACATCTGGCTGACTGTGCGATGATCTCCAATATAATAATAATAATAATAATAATAATAATAATAATAATAATAATAATAATAATAATAATAAGAAGAAGAAGAAGAAGAAGAAGAAGAAGAAGAAGAAGAAGAAGAAGAAGAAGAAGAAGAAGAAGAAGAAGAAGAAGAAGAAGAAGAAGAAGTAGTTGGAAGGGACCAAATAAATCTCTTTTTAAAAACTTCCAGTGTTGGAGCATTCACCGCTTCTGGAGGCAGGTTGTTCCATTGGTTAATTGTTCTAACTGTCAGGAAGTTTCTCCTTAGTTCTTGGTTGCTTCTCTCCTTGATTAGTTTCCATCTGTTGCTTCTTGTCCTGCCTTCAGGAGCTTTGGAAAATAGGTTGACTCTCTCTCCTTTGTGGCAGCCCCTGAGATATTGGAACACTGTTATCATGTCCCTCCTCGTCCTTCTCGTCATTAAACTGGACATACCCAATTCCAGCAACCGTTCCTCATATGTTTTAGCCTCCAGTCCCCTAATCATCTTTGTTGCTCTTCTCTGTACTCTTTCTAGAGTATCAGCATCTTTTTTACATCGTGGTGACCAAAACTGGATGGAGTATTCCAAGTGTGGTCTTACCAAGGCCTTGTAAAGTGGTATTAATACTTCACGTGAACTTGATTCTATCCCTCTGTTAATGCAGCCTAGCACTGTGTTAGCCTTTTTGGCAGCTGCAGCACACAGCTGGCTCATATTTAAGTGATTGTCCACTAGGACTCTGAGGTCCCTCTCACAGTTACTACTATTGAGCAAAGTACCCCCTATACTATACCTGTACATTTGGTTTTTCTTGCCTAAATGTAGAACCTTAGTTTTTTTCACCATTGAATTTCATTTTGTTAGATAGCGCCCAGTGTTCAAGTCTGTCCAGGTCCTCCTGTATCTAAAGCCTGTCTTCTGGAGTGTTGGCTATTCTTGCCAGCTTGGTGTCATCCACAAATTTGATGAGTTCCCCGTCTATTCCTTCATCCAAATAGTTGATGAGGATGCTGAAGAGCACTGGGCCTAGAACAGAGCCTTGGGGCACCCCACTACACAATTCCCTCCATGTAGATGCAGTTCCATTGAGGACTACATGCTGAATACAGCCGGTCAGCCAGCTAAAATAGAATGAAGGATTAAAAGATGGCAAATTGCAAATGAATAATATAAAGAAGAAATTCAACCTAATAGAGTCTTTCATCCCACAAGGCCCTTAAAATCAACAGCAGGTGGAAATCAACTGAGCAAGAGAAGAAAATACTTAAAATCAACTATTTAATTTATCAATATATCTCACGGTCAAAAGGGATTTTGCAAAGACAAGAATCAGATCTTCCTATCACTTATGTTATCCATTACCCAGTTACATCGCACTTTTCTCCAAGATTTGCTTTCCTGTTCCGGAACAGATATGCAAAATCTGCAAAGTTCTGCTTATCATTACTTGCTACTCCAACATTCAATACTATGAGTTATCGAACAACACATGTGACAGTTTTTGCTTGATATGTCAAATTTTGGACATAATTAGCAAACTGTAGTATGGGTGGAGCCTACTGTTCTTCATCTGCTAAAGTACAATTAGCTTTAACAGGACTTAAAATGCACCACATTTTCTCTGCGGCTTCTTCTGCTTTGGCCATTATTGGTCCCTCCAGCCATAAATAAAATGAGATATTGATTTTCTTCTCACCAACTTTGAAGATTTGGACAAATAGGTAAGAATAAGTAAGATGTATGGAAGAACTAATCTAATTTAGGCATATGCAAATGCAAAAATATTTGTCTCTTAAACTAGTAACTTCTGCATCTGATTTTTCATATCAATTTTTGGGTGATATTTATAGGTTGAGAGTTATCTAAACTACTTTTTCCTCTAATGCTGGCCATCAAAATGCAAATTAAATTATCAAAAACTCCATTTTTTAAGGATCCTGATATAAAAATGAGAGTTTCTCCAAAATTTATCCTTTTAGCTCACTCAACCTTATTTTTTCTCTTTGTTTTCAATCTTTCTATATTTGTGATAGGTAAACAACTCTTCTTCCAGTAGTTCTGCAACTGCCAGTCCTGGTTGCTCAGCCAACCCTGTAGAATCCTGTAGCTCCCTTGATACCAGATGTCTAGGAATTCCAGCACCCAGCTTGGCTCTTGTTGACCTGGATGATAATTGCTTTGGTATGGGTTTCTGCAAATTACAGAAACACTCTTCCTCACTGTTTCCACATACAATCAGACAGATGTTTAGACTTGATTTGGCATTTTGGTCCATTTATCGAGTCCTTCTCAAGGACCTGGGATAGACAGATGTTGATGTGTGATGGTGTTAAAGGTATTATTGCAGGATGTAAGCTGTTCTAAGTAAAGCTGCCTGTTGCAACTGACTGATGGGGAATTTGTCAGTGCCAATGGGGTTTAAGTTCCAGTTGTTTTTGGACTGAACCCAAAGTGTCTATTGCTATTGATGTTACCTTTGCTTTCGTTTGCCACAGTCATTCAATTTCTGTTTGCAGGTCTTTCTGCAACCTTTTTGCAGCAACTAACCTGGTGACCCATGGTTCCTTCAGCTTCCTTGCAGAGGCGGCACTTGCTGTCTGTTGCTGACTTCTCAATTCTGGATTTGCAGACATTTCTTTTTATGGCTTGATCTTGTGCAGCCAGAATTAGTGCTTCTGGCTAATATTGAGGATGATGTTATCCCTTCATTTGTGTCCGAGTCTTGGCGATTCTATGGGCCGGGTCTCTCCACATCTTCTGATTGTGCACTACTTCTTTTGGTTTTTCTATGCTCTGGCTGGTGTCAGATTTGATGGCGTCCATCCATTGCAACCATTGTGTGCTACCTTCAAAAAATGATCCACTGTTCCTTCAGCCTCCTTGGCACTTGCTGTCTCTTGTTGTCTTCTCGATTCTGGCTTTTTGAGCATTTATTCCTAAGGCTTGATTTCATGCAGCCAGATTTAGTCCTTCTATCATGTTCCTCAAATTTCCTGTTCTTAGCCATTGCCTGGTCTTGTTATTATCTGCTTTGCCTACTATTTTTTTTTTTAATGTATTGACCATTTAGTGCTTTTGTTGCCCTGCCTCTTTTCTGTTCTTCATTTGTTATTGTGGGCCACTTTCGTCTCTCCACTATTCAGTAAGTCTTCCTGGTATGTTATTACTACGTTTTGTCACACAGAGCCAAAATCCATTTATTGAGTCCTTTCCAAAGACCTGGGATAGCAGATGTTGATGTTTGATGGTGCTAAAGATCTTGTCGTAGGATATAAACTGTTGTGAATCAAGCTGCGTTTTGCAATTGAGAGACTGCGAATTTTTCAGTGACAATGTCATTGAAGTGGTTTTCCAGTTATTTTGGAATTGCACTAAGCCACCTGCTATTATTGCTATTATCATTAGCAGAAGTCAAATGATTGGTCCAGCCTGTACACAAAAGTGTTTAGATATGAAGATATGACAATTATTGAAGAATTATTTAATCCAATCTTCTTTTTTTTCCAAACAGAAATTTCCACTCTAAAGGAAGAGATTATTGAAGCATTAAAAAAACATCTCTTGATGAATTTCAGCCTGGCAAACCTGAATGCTACAGCAGATTATTTTGAGTATGATAATAACGATGTTCTCGAAGACCTATTTATATACGACTATTTTAAAAATATCATTTTCTCTATTATATTGATCATCTGCTGTATTGGAACCCCATTAAATGGAATTGTTATCTGGCTACTTGGCTTCCAAATTAAGAGAAACCCTTTCACAGTATTGATTCTTAATTTAGCTATTGCCGACTTTGGACATCTCATCTTTATGACTATATCTTGTATTAACATTTTTATAGGTTTTATACAGTCAGGAATTCCCCAGCAAATCTTCTATATTCTCTTCAATGTTACATATATTAACGATCTGTTTCTTCTGACAGCCATCAGCATTGACCGGTGTGTGTCTGTCCTTTTCCCAATCTGGCATCGCTGTTCCCGGCCAAAATATTTGTCCCCTGCTGTCTGTGCCATCCTCTGGATCTTCTCTTTCCTCCTGACTGGAATTAGCCTCAATCTTAATCATTTAATTCTTTCTTATATCCCCTATGATCTCCACTTGGTTGTGACTGCTGTGCTTTGCCTTCCGTTGATCACAACCTCTACTGTGATCCTGTTCATCAAAATATGTCTTAAATCAAAACAGCTCAAACCACGAAGAATTTTAGTGATGATCTTAATTACTCTTCTCTGTTTTCTTATTCTTACACTCCCATTATATATCTATGTGTTCGTTATTCGTTTTATTCAGAAGTGGGATTTGATTGATATTATTAAATTACTTTTCTACTTCAGTCTGTGTGCTTCTCTAAACTGCAGCGTTAACCCGGTGATCTATTTTCTGGTTGGGAGAAAGAAAAAAGCTGGTTCTAGGGAGAGCATCAAGGTCATTTTTCAAAGAGTTTTCAGGGAAGATGAAGCTCCTGAAATCTGATAAAGGTTTATAAACACAATTTCAAACCCTCTGTAAATGTAAAACTTCTGCTGTTCTTTAATGCTGGTTATCTCTTATGAGTGCATAGCTGTATTTCTTGTTATAGAAATGAAGTATAATAAAGGATTCTTTCCTCTCCAGAGGAAGTGGCCTCTGTTCCAGCGTTAAACCATAATTAACAAGTTAAAATTCATATATGGCTGGAAAAGATGACTAAAATACATATAGAATTTAAGCCAAAATTGTTTCTGCTAGGAATATTAGGATCTAGTTATGGAAAAGAGAAAAAGTATTTAATATTACATATATTGACAGCTGCAAGAATAGTATTTGCCCAATACTGGAAAAATGAAGATATACCATCCGATGAGATTATAATTAGGAAAATTTTAGAATGTGCAGAAATAGATAGATTAATGTTAGAGATTAAAGAGAAGGAAGACTTAATCTATTATAAAACATGGGAAACATTTTATCAATGGCTAGCAAAGTGAGATAAGGAATCTGAAATTTATTAAGATGATTGATTTTTTTTTCTTTTGATGAATAGACATGTTTTATAATTTCTGTTATTCTTGTTGACTACAGTTACTGATTATTATATTAGCCTGCTTGAACATCTATATCCAGAAGATAGTTTTCTTGCTAAAGCGTGAAATGTTATTGTGGATAACCCCATTGTTGTATCCATCCCTACCCCAAAGTCTTCCCTGAACCCTATCCCGATTCCCACCACCCATAATGATCCTTGACTTTCCCTACCCTGAAAAAACTTAATAAAATATTATAAAGAAACAAGTATGAAGTTGTACATAACAGTCACTGAATGGAGAAAGAACGGAGAACACCAGGTGATCTTTCCTCTGCACCAACTTCTATGTCAGAAACAATTTGGAAGAAGGGGATACGGGACCCAACACCACACAGCTTAGGAATTGCTAAACCATAATTGCTCCAGAGGCTTTGCACCGTCTGACGATTCCTTGAGTGTTGTTATACCAGGCCATGGGAAGGCAGAGGAAGGATTTTGACAACAGGATTTGAACTCAAGCCCTTTGCTGTGTGCTCTGAAGGAACATGGCCAGAAAGGCATCCCCAGAGAGAGAGGTTAAGCTTCACCATCCCCATCCTTATATTTCTAATGACCAAAGAGGGGAAATAAATCTTTAAGGGAAAATAGTATCAAAACAAAAGAACAGACTGCACACTTGAATGACTGTGATCAGCTGGATCCCTTCCTCAGTGGTTAAAGTCCCATTTATCATCTGAGAAATCCAACTGTCATTGAAGTTTTCCTCTTGGGTCTCCTCCATTAATTGGCTAATGGTCTATCTAATTATAGCTTCTGAAAAGAAATATGGTCTGGAGAACAATTTTCCCCGTTCCTCTGTTATATAAACAGAGGCATAGAATCAAGATCACGTGAAGTATTATTACTGCTTTACAAAGCCCTAGTAAGACCACACCTGGAATATTGCAGCCAATTTTGGTCACCATATCACAAATAAGTTCTTGAGAGTTTGGAAAAAAAATCAGAGAAGAGCAACTAAGATGGTCAAAAAGAACGGCTACGGGACTTGGGTTTGGCTAGTCTAAAGAAAAAAAGAAATAAGGGAGACAGGATAGCAGTGTTCCAGTATCTGAGAGGCTGCCACAAGACAGAGGGGGTCAGGTTGTTCACTAGAGCACCAGAGGGAAGGATGAGAAACAATGGTTGGAAACTGGTCAAGGAGAGAAGCAACCTGGAATTAAGGAGAAACTTCCTGACAGTGAGGACAATCACCCAGTGGAATAGGTTGTTTTCAGAAACTGTGGGTGCTCCATCACTGGAGATTTTTAAGAAGAGACTAGACAATCACCTGTCTGAGATTGTATAGGATCTCCTGCTCGAGAAGATGCTGGACTAGAAGGCCTCCAAGGTCACTTCCAGCTCTACTTTACTCTATTTTTAAAATGTTTTTGTGGTCCTTGAGCTGTCAAGGAAACTTTTTTATTACTTGTTCAGGCTCAGTCAAATAGGCTGAATGAGAAATCTATTTGATAATAAAATATTTGCCTGTTTGTGTGTATATATACAACTAGTCCTTGACTTATAACCGTTTGTTTAGTGACCATTCAAATTTCTATTCTATTTGACTTTTCTTGCCATAGCATTAAGTGACTCCACATATACTGTATTAAATGGCTAATCTTCATCTCTAGATTTGTGCAAAACCTTTTCTGATTCAACTTTGATTCAACAGTGTTTCATTCAGATTCATGGGTGCTGTTGGTAGACGGTGCTGCAGTTGTTTGGTAACAGCTGTTTGTTTTCCTTTTAGTTGAGCCATTGCAGGAAGAGATTCAATGTATTGGAATTTTTCCTTTTGATAGATTGGAAGAAATCCATCCCCGGCTCAGAATGGACTTTCAAAAGTGGCATCCATGCACTTCCGGTGGGCTGTTCTGGTCCTGAGAGACCTGCCCACCTCAGAATCGACTTCTGGAAGTGTCACCCATGCACTTTCAGCAGTCTGTCTGAGCCTTGTGAAAAGGGGATAAGGCATCAGCCAGTTCGCCAAAGTCAACAAAAAATTAGCTACCGGTTCTACTGAACCGGTGCGAACTGGCTGAATCCCACCACTGGTTGAAGTGATTGGCTCTACCAAATCTGCTGAGAAAATGTGATACTTATTTAGATGAAGTTCAGACTGTTCATTGACAAGAAGGAAAGCCCACTCACCCATCACGAGTGACAATGATCAAAGAGTTGCCTGTAGAATTTGATAATCGTGGAAGTTATAGACCGAACAGAAAACTTCAGAAGTACATGGACCCACCAGAAGTGCATGGACGCCATTTTCGGAAATCCATTTTGAGCCAGGGAGGCCTCCAAGGTCCAGAATGGCCCTCTGGAAGTACATCCATGTCATTTCTGGTGGACAGAAAGTGGACTTTCTTTCTTGTCAATGAACTGTCTGAACTTCATCTAAATAAAACTTTATCACATTTTTTGTACAGATCTGCCATTGCCAATCAATTCAACCTTCATTATCAGGATAATAATCTTCCCCTCTCCAACTTTGAAGACCTTGGTCCATTACTTTCCGATGTGTCATAATTTTGGAACACTTAATCTGTCCCAGGGAAATGCAAGTATAATAACAACTGTTTTTCTAGTAACTATGTATTTTTGTATTTGATATTTCATATTAAAATATTCCATATTTATATCCTGATAATCCCATAAGTCTCAATTGATTTTTTTTCTGGTTTTATCCCTTTTTTCAATCTTTAGGACGAAAATCAGAGATTTAGGAACAGAGTTTCATGATAAATGTTCTTAGATGAGAAGATCAGTCCAGTTCAAAGAAACATTTTTTTTTCCTTTTTGTAAGAGCTTCCCACATTTATGGGCAATCCCCTCCTTCTATGGCTGGTGATTAGCCTGCAAAAAGAGGAACCAGAGCTTCTTATCATTTGATGTTCACACTGATTAGGCGAGACACAACATATATAGAGAGAAGTTGTGTGAGACTTTTAGCAAGATCTGCTTCCTCGTCCAAGAACAGAAAGGATATTTTCTTGAAAAGATCTGCTTACAACTATCTGATAGTCCAACATTTAATCCTGTAAATTGTTCAACAACACATCTGACAGGTTCTCCTTGACGTATGTCAAACAAGACTTAAAACTCATCATATTTTCTCTACATCTTATTCTGCTTTGGCCATTGTCAGTCACTGTAGCAGTCAATTACATGATATAGTAATCTTCTTCTCTTCAGATCTGAAGAACTTGAACCAATTGTTTCAGAAAGATAAGACATTTGGTAGATCTTAGACCAATGCAAGAATATTTGTCTACTTAACTAGTATTTTCTGCTCTTGATTTTTCACATCAAACTATTTAGAAATTTTGCACAAATTCCGTAAATCCAGGACTGCAGAGTCAATCAGAATAGAGCAGGGTGGGATCTTGAAGGTCTTCTAGTCTAACCCCCTGCTCAAGCAGAAGACTCTGTACCATTTCAGACAAGTGGCTGTCCCTATGAAATGGTTTTAGTGATTGTCTTGTAATTCAGACACTGAACAACTACTTATTTAAATGCTAACCTTTAATCATGATAAGATGTAATTGAAATTGCACAATGATGAACTCAACCACTATTTCCAGAGATTTGAACCCTCCCTGAGTAAATTTTGATAAGTTAATCTGAAATATTTCTTTTTTATGAATTATAAAGAAAGGGAGAGATAGGGGCCTCCATAGATTTACACAGGAAGAACTTCAGCTAGAAGCAAATGTCTATCAATCTAAGTTGATGTGTTTGCTCTGCTGATTCGGTCCTGTTTTATATTCTTAGCAGTCTTCAGCTGGGACAAAATAACTAGAATATCTGCAAGGGGTATATTAATAGCCCTCTGGGGACAGACAGCCTCAGGTAATCCTAGGACAGAACAGAATAGAGTTGTGGAGCTTCAACGTGATTCCTTATCACAACAAATATTTAATCAAAGAATATCTTGAAAGCATTAAAATTAGGCATAAAAACCACTTTTTGTGGATAGTAGAAGCATTTATTTTCCTAGTGGTTAGTAGGAGATATTTTTAATTGATTTTATTCTATGTTTTTTTTTAATCATTGAATGTTGTATGTGCCCAGGGTCATTGAAAGTTGGATAGCAAACAAGTTTAACATATTTTAGTTGGTTACATAAACAGTCAGATGTTGCGATTGAATTTGGCTTTGACCTGGGATGGGCAGATATTGCTGTTTGATAGCGTTAAGTGTATCATTAAAGGATGTAAACTGTTTCAAGTAAAACAGCCTTTTGCAACTCATTGATGGTGATTTTGTCAATGCCAATGCTATCCCATTGGTGTCCATACATTTTGGGATTAAACTGAAGGTTAATTACTATTACTATTGATTGATAACAGAATAAGCAGGAGCCTTGGAGGTCTTCTAGTCCAACCTGCTGCTCAGGCAGGAAACTCTACACTCTTTCAGACAAATGGTTATCCAATTTCTTCTTCAAAAGTTCCACTGTTGGAGCATTCACAACTTCTGGAGGCAGTTTGTTCCACTGGTTAATTGTTCTGTCAGGCAATTTCTCCTTAGTTCTAGGTTGGTTCTCCCCTTGATTAGTTTCCATCCATTGTCCTGCCTTCAGGTGCTTAGGTTGACTCTCTCTTCTTTGTGGCAGCTCCTTAGATATTGGCACTCTGCTATCATGTCACCCCAGTCATTCTTTTCATTAAACAAGACCTACCCAATTCCAGCAACCATTGTTCCTATGATTTAGCCCCTCATCATCTTTGTTGCTCTTCTCTGCAGTTTTTCTAGACTCAACAATTTTTTTTTTATATCATGGCGACCAAACCTGGATGCAATATTCCAAGAGTGGTCTTATCAAGGCATTATAAATTGGTATCATTATATTAATATAAATTTATATATGAAGAGAGAGAGAGAATATATATATATATATATATATATATATATATATATATATATATATATATATATATATATATAGAGAGAGAGAGAGAGAGAGAGAGAGAGAGAGAGAAGCAACTTAGAATTAAAAGGAAATTTCCTGAAAGTTAGAACAATTAATCAGTGGAACTGCTTGCCTCTAGAAGTTGTGAGTGCTCCAACACTGGAAGTTTTGAAGAAGGGATTGGACAGTCATTTGTCTGAAATATTGGTCACATAGCCAGCTTGTTGTTTAGAATGGATTTTGTGTAGCATTATCAAATCAACAGGGAATAGAGAATAGAATAGAGCTGGAAGGACCTTGGAGGTCTTCTAGTCCAGCCCCCCGCTCAAGCAGGAGAACCTATACCATCTTAGACAGGTGAATGTCTAGTCTCTTCTTAAAAATATCCAGTGATGGAACTCCAACAATTTCTGGTGGCAAGCTGTTCCACTGGTTGATTGTCCTCACTGTCAGGAAGTTTCTCCTTAATTGCAGGTTGCTTCTCTCCTTGATCAGTTTCCAACCATTGTTTCTCATCCTTCCCTCTGCCTTATATAAAAACTCCTTTGAAAATCTCTACTCAACCTCTATTTCCAGCTGCATCCAATTCTGCAGGCAGTTCTTTCAACTTTCTAACTTAAGATAGTGTGGATGGACTTTCCTTCTGTCAATATCATGTAACTAGGTCTTAAACACATTTTGCCTGCAGGTCGTGCCATCCCCAATCACGTCAACCCTCAATACTGTGACACAATCATTTTCTACTCACTAGCTTTCAAGAGTTTGGACCATCAGTTTCAGCTATGTTATAATTTTGAAAAGTTTAATCAGACCCCAGGATATGCAAATAGAGTACTAACCATTACTTCAGTGGCTGTATGTTTTTATACTTGGTATTTACATGTCGGCTTCATATCAGTCTCAGTTGAGGTTTCCTGCTTTTTTACTCATTTTCCAGCCAATTTTTAGCCATCATGACAATACAAGTATGTCAAAAGCAAACAAATTGTCTGAAACCCAAGATCAAGGAAATAAAATGCTTCTTTAGCTTATCCTTAATTCTTTCTCATCAGTTTTAGTTGTTCAGTTCTGTATGAAAACTCATCTCATTTTTGTGCCTCAACTTGGAAAGTTCCAGTTAATCACAGAAAATTTGCACACACACATATCTTCTATATTTAACTAATGAAGGAGAGATCAGAATCAGAATTAATCAGTGGAACAGCTTGCCTTCAGAAGCTGGGGGTGCTCCATCACTAGAGCTTTTTAAGAAGAGACACCATTTCAGACAAATGGTTGTCCAATCTCTTCTCAAAAACCTCCAGTGTTGAAGCATCCCCAGCTTCTGAAGGCAAGCTGTTCCACTGATTAATTGTACTAATTGTCAGGAAATTTCTCCTTAGTTCTAGGTTGTATCACTGCTTAATACGTTTCCATCCATTACTTCTTCTTCTGCCATAAGGAGCTTTGGAGAATAGGTGGACCCCTTCTTCTAGAAGCTATGGCAATATTGGTACCAATAAAGGAGAATATTTGTAGCTTAGGGTTGAAATGAGGGGTCCTTGGTACTCTCTGAGCTTGCTTTTTAAGCCATCTCTTTACCAAACTAGCTAACATCATCAGTGTTACCTAGTTTGAATAATGAAAAGTCTGCAAGAAAACAAGTAAGCTGAGAGAGCACCATGTGGCCACAATATTGATGTTATTTAGGAGACAGGAATGACTGAATCCACTCTTCTTTATTTTCTTCCCCTCAGAAAGATAACCAGAGGATTACAAAAGTTTAATGATGAATTCCAGCCTGGGAGATCTGGATGCTACAGAGAATTATTATGGATATAATGATTCCAGTGAGTTCACAGAATAGTTCACCTTTTCTGATGTAGAAGTGATTCTTTGGAGAGGCATTACTTTAATGGTCTGTTGTATTGGATTTGTGGGCAATGGCTGCATCATTTGGCTACTTAGCTTCCAGATGAAGAGAAATTGTTTCATCACATTCATCCTTAACTTGATCATTGCAGACTTTGGGTTCCTCACATGTATAGTTATATATTTTATCAATACATTTATAGACTTTCTAGGAAGCATTATCAGCTTCATCTTTTTCTCTTTCTCCAACATTTGTCCCCTGCTGTCTGTGTCTTTCTCTGGATCACCTCTTTCCTCCTTGCTGGAATTGTGGAAATTATGATATTCACAAAAGTCATTGTAAATGACAGCCTCTCCAGTCTTCATTTCCTTGTGACTGCTATAGTTTGCCTTCCGTTGATCACTCTCTCTACTGTGATCCTTTTCATCAAAGTGTGTCTTAAATCGAATCAGAAGAATCAGGGTCGGCTTTTACTGATGATTTTAATGACTCTTCTCTGTTTCCTCATCCTTGCTTTTCCATTATCAATCATTGTAGTGATTCTTAGTTTTTATAGTTCTGAAGCTGAGAATAAAGTGGAAGATTTGGCATTATGGTGTCTACTGCTTTCTTGTCTAAATAGCAGCATTAATCCAGTGATCTATTTTCTAGTTGGGAGGAAAAAAGGAGCTCGGTCCAAGGAGGGCATGAAGGTCCTTTTGCAAAAGGTCTTCAAACAAGGTGAAGTTACCAGAGGTAGATAGAAGAGGTCAAATCCTCTCACAAGGCCTTTGTGCTACTTTCTCTGTAGCAATGAATAAGTTGCACTTGAGGCTGGAATCTTATAGGTGGGGACAAATCTCTTTCCACACATTGACTCTGTCATCTGACATACAGAGAACTGCATTTCAAGAGATGCCTACATCAATCCCCAACTAATGCTGTGCAGGAAATGAACTGCATGACATTTATAAAATACTCAGCTTACTTTGCTTTCTAGAAATGAGATTTTTATTTCTAGATAAGCACCAACCATGCCTGCTGCTTCTAGATGTTGCTTAAAGGAAACTAATTCATGAAATGAAGCAACAGTGAGGAAAATTAAACTAGAACCAATTAGAAACCAATTGAAATTCAGTAATTAGTGTTGAGGCTTTAGTCTCTTACTAAAAAGGGAAAGAGCAAGAGAGACAGTTTTCCAGTATATCCCATTTCTTGGGAGCAACAGAAGAGAAATGGGGGCCACAGGAAAAATCACAAATCCCCAGGCTATAATATCAGTGAATGTTATCTCTGAAATGTGTGAGGATCAAAACTGTCATATTTTATTTCAGGAAATGTATCCTGTACATATTTTTTTTTCTGCTCTTTCCTTTTATTATGTATACAAATTAGCGAAGCTGTATGTTCTTCTATCAAGTGCTTTAGGGACAAAACCTTTGCAATTATATAGGAAATAAACATACATAAAATGAGAAAAGTTAAATTAAAAAAAACATGCATTAATAGGAGTTGTTATGATATAAAGAAGAATTGTATGATGTCAGACATATCATTTCATTTTATGAAATAAAGAATTACATGAAGTGAGACGTAATTTCATGTGATGAAATAAAAAAGATATATGAAGTCAGACGCTTTCTGTACAAACATTTCACTTTGAAAATTAAGAATACGGCAGTATTTCCTTTATATTGTTTGGCGTTAGCTACTTTGTTCGATAAATTTGTTTTTTATTGAACGCACATATTATTTATGGCTATCAAACATGAGAGTACAGTGATAGTAAGACTTCACGAAAGTTCTTCCTTTGCAACTTGTTGTTCCTCCAGGCTGCCCTGCTGCTCATCCTTGAAGAGTATTTGAGGAACCACCTTCAAAGATGTTCTGGGCTGACTCTTTCCCCTCTGCTTCCTCCCCACGAAGAAATAAAGGAGTGGGTTGATGCTGCTCTTGAGAGTAGCATTTCCTATTCCAGTTGTCAAGAGGACAGGATGAGGGAAACTGAAATAATAAATGACATATGAGGCATACATTGGGAGAGAAAAAAGGAGGAAGAAGAGGAGAGCCAGCAAGATGGTGGTGAGGAACTTCCTTTGATTGTGTTGCGATTTAGACCTCATGTGAATCCAGAGGGTCACAGTAGACAAAACCATGAGAGGTGTACAAAATAAACCATTCACAATCAGCTGGTAAAGCAAAGATGAACTTCCAGAGCTTCTGGTCTGGTGGAGAATGAAGTGCACTACAGAGAGCAAGAAGGAGAGGATCCAGATATGGACGACGATGGCAGCGATTGCCAGAGGGAAAAGGACAGCCACACAGATGTCCAGGCTGACGGCCGTCATCAGAAACTGGCTAGCAGAATAGGTGAAGGAAAAGAGCTGAAAAAACAAGAAGAAAAAGGTTCGGACTATGTAAGTTCCTTTATAAAAAGTTGACACCCTCACAAATATAGCTGCCATAATGAGGGATGTGAGGAACCCAAAATCAGCCATGGAGAGATTCAGGATTTAAATGGTGAAAGAATTCCTCTTAATGGAAAAGGCCAGGAGATAAATGGTCTTTCCATTTTCTGTTGTTGTTAATTGCGAAGTCGTGTCCGACCCGTCGCGACCCCATGGACAACATTCCTCCAGGTCTTCCTGTCCTCTACCATCTTCTGGAGTCCATTTAAATTCACACCTACTGCTTCAGTGACTCCATCCAGCCATCTCATTCTCTGTCGTCCCCTTCTTCTATTGCCCTCAATCTTTCCCAGCATTAGGCTCTTCTCCAGTGAATCCTTCCTTCTCATTAGGTGGCCAAAGTACTTGAGTTTCAACTTCAGGATCTGGCCTTCTAAAGAGCAGTCGGGGTTGATCTCTTCTAGGACTGACCGGTTTGAACGCCTTGCAGTCCAAGGGACTCGCAGGAGTCTTCTCCAGCACCACAGTTCAAAGGCCTCAATTCTTTTGCGCTCAGCCTTTCTTATGGTCCAACTTTCACAGCCATACATTGCAACTGGGAAAACCATGGCCTGGACTATGCGCACTTTTGTTGGCAGGGTGATGTCTCTGCTTTTTAGAATGCTGTCTAGATTTGCCATAGCTTTCCTCCCCAGGAGCAAGCGTCTTTTAATTTCTTGGCTGCAGTCCCCATCTGAGGTGATCTTGGAGCCCAGAAAAATAAAATCTGTCACTACCTCCATTTCTTCCCCATCTATTTGCCAGGAATTGAGAGGGCCGGATGCCATGATTTTGGTTTTCTTAATGTTGAGTTTCAAGCCAACTTTTGCACTCTCCTTCTTCACCCGCATCAAGAGGCTCTTTAGTTCCTCTTCACTTTCTGCCATTAGAGTGGTATCATCTGCATATCTTAGGTTGTTGATATTTCTCCCGGCAATCTTAATTCCAACTTTTGATTCATCTAGCCCTGCCTTTCTCATGATGTGCTCTGCATATAAGTTAAATAGGCAGGGCGACAGTATACAGCCTTGCCGGACTCCTTTTCCAATTTTGAACCAATCAGTGGTTCCGTGTTCGGTTCTCACTGTTGCTTCTTGACCCGCATATAGGTTTCTCAAGAGACAAATGAGATGGTCTGGTACTCCCATCTCTTTAAGAACTTGCCACAATTTGTTGTGATCCACACAATCAAAGGCTTTTGCATAGTCAATGAAGCAGAAGTAGATGTTTTTCTGGAACTCCCTAGCTTTCTCCATGATCCAGCGTATGTTGGCAATTTGATCTCTAGTTCCTCTGCCTCTTCGAAATCCTGCCTGTACTTCTGGTAGTTCTCGATCCACATACTGCTGGAGTCTAGCTTGTAGGATTTTAAGCATAACTTTACTAGCATGTGAAATGAGTGCAATGGTGCGATAGTTTGAACATTCTTTGGCATTGCCTTTCTTTGGAATTGGAATGTAAACTGACCTTTTCCAATCCTGTGGCCACTGTTGAGTTTTCCAAATTTGCTGGCAAATTGAGTGTAGCACTTTTACTGCATCGTCTTTTAAGATTTTGAATAGCTCAGCTGGAATACTGTCACCTCCACTAGCTTTGTTGTTGCTCAGATTTTCTAAGGCCCATTTCACTTCACATTCTAGGATGTCTGGTTCGAGGTCAATGACCATCTCATTGTGGTTATCTGGGATGTTAAGCTCATTCTTGTATAGTTCTTCTGTGTAGTTTTGACATCTCTTCTTAATCTCTTCTGCCTCTGTTAGGTCTCTGCCATTTTTGTCCTTTATCATGCCCATCTTTGCATGAAACGTTCCCTTCATATCTCCAATTTTCTTGAAGAGATCTCTGGTCCTCCCTGTTCTGTTGTTTTCTTCTATTTCTTTGCACTGTTCATTTAAAAAGGCATTCTTATCTCTTCTAGCTACTCTCTGGAATTCTGCATTCAATTGGGTGTATATTTCTCTTTCTCCTTTGCCTTTCGCTTCCCTTCTTTCCTCAGCTATTTGCAAAGCTTCCTGAGACAGCCATTTTGCTTTCTTGCATTTCTTTTTCTTTGGGATGGTTTTAGTTGCTACCTCTTGTACAATGTTGCGAACTTCCATCCATAGTTCTTCAGGCATTCTGTCTATCAGATCCAGTTCCTTAAATCTATTTGTCACCTCTACTGTATATTCATCAGGAATATGATTTAGTTCATACCTGAGTGGCCTAGTGCTTTTCCCTACTTTTTTCAATTTAAGCCTAAATTTTGCAACGAGAAGCTCATGATCTGAGCCACAGTCAGCTCCTGGTCTTGTTTTTACTGACTGTATAGAGCTTCTCCATCTTTGGCTGCAGAGCACATAGTCAATCTGATTTCTATGTTGACCGTCTGGTGATGTCCATGTGTAGAGCCGTCTCTTGGGCTGTTGGAAAAGAGTGTTTGTTATGACCATCGTATTCTCTTGACAAAATTCTATTAGCCTGTGCCCTGCTTCATTTTGTTCTCCAAGGCCAAACTTGCCTGTTATTCCAGTTATCTTTTGGCTTCCTACCTTAGCATTCCAATCCCCCATGATGATAAGGACATCATTTTTGGGTGTCAATTCTATAAGGTGCTGTAGGGCTTCATAGAACCGGTCAATTTCATCCTCTTCAGCACCAGTGGTTGGGGCATAGATTTGGACTACTGTGATATTGAATGGTTTGCCTTGGATTCAAATTGAGATCATTCTGTCATTTTGGGGATTGTATCCCAGTATTGCTTTTCCTATTCCATTTTCTACCAGGCCCAAAATGCAGATAAGGGCAATGAAGCCATTTCGTGTTACATTATCAACCAACTGATTATCTAGAGAAGACATTTCTGGTATTTTAGAAGTATTCAGAGCAGTTTCCATATTTTCGATCATACGGAAAGAAATTTTGACCTTTTCTGGATCATTCCTTGAAAGTTCGGGCGTATCCAAAATAGTTGGGGATGCAACCTGCTTAAAAAAAAAAAAAAGAAAAGAGAATTAGTTCACTTACACACAGACACACAGACACATACACAAACTTACTTTTCACTTACAGATATCATATCAACACATATGTATTTTTTTCATCATCTGATGGAAATTAAATCCCTAAAATCAATGCTCCTTATGCGGCTGGAGAATTGCTGTACTTAGTAGAGACCCAAAATCTTCAAGATGCATTTCAGTAAAATTTCCAAGAAATTCCTATTATTAGAGTTATCAGGTATCAGGCATTTGTTCAACAACCTTCACAAAGCAGGTAGTAAAATTGGGCCACTTCATGTTATGACCTATCCCAAAGATGCTTTTTCATGAGGCAACTGGACTTTCTTCTTCTTTTTCTTTGAAGATGTTTCGCTTCTCGTTCAAGAAGCTTCTTCAGCTCTGACCTGTTATGTTATGGCCTACTTAATGAGTCAACTGGAAAAGGAAAGATTGCACTTTTATTTTTTGCTCTTTCTATTAGCTGTTCTAGCAGGGGTGATCCCTGTAGTAGACAGGACATTCCTTAATGGCTCACAACTTCTGCCTCTAGAACTGTTCATGAGTCTGACAAGGGGTTGAACTAATTATTTGTAATAAATAAACAGGTTGCCCCTACTGGCTTGTAGTCAGGGACCAGATCATATAGACTGGAAGCTAAAACATATAAAGAGTGGTTGCTGGAATTGGGTTTATCACGTTTAATGAAAAGAAGGACTAGGGGGTGACAGGATAGCAGTGTTCCAATATCTCAGGGGCTGCCACAAAGAAGAGGGATTCAAGCTATTCTCCAAAGCACTGAAGACAGGACAAGAAGCAACGGATGGAAACTAACCAAGGAGAGAAGCAACCTAGAACTAAGAAGAAATTTCCTGACAGTCAGAACAAATGACCAGTGGAACAACTTATCTCCATAATTTGTGAATGCTCCAACACTGGATGCTTTTAAGAAGAGATTGGACAATCATTTATCTGAAATCATATAGGGTTTCCTGCCTGATCAGGGGCTTCGGGTTAGAAAACCTCCAAGGTCCCTTAAACTCTGTTATTCTGCTCTGCTCTACTGTATTCTACTCTACTCTACTCTACTCTACTCTACTCTACTCTACTCTACTCTACTCTACTCTACTCTACTCTACTCTACTCTACTCTACTCTACTCCATTCCATTCCATTCCATTCTATTCTATTCTATCCATTCTTAGATGCTTCTAGGATTTTCTTGGGTTTTTGTGCCCAGATCATGAGCAATTCTTCTTTGTCTTCCTCCCATGAAGAAAAAGTACTCAGATAAAAGACATTCAACCAAAGTCAGACACACCAGTCAACAAGTCAGAGATGGGAAGATTGCTGTCACACTATCCAGAGGAAAAACCTGCTGTTATAACGAGTTCTAATATTGGCTAGAGGATCCTGAGAGATTAGCTGATCTCATACTAATGGTCTCTAAGTCTTATCTTAAACTCAAAAAGGAGTATTTTGTAAATAACAATTACCGTAACAGAAAGTCTGGTTGCCTACTCCTGCTGTAGACAAACCTGGTGGTGAATCTCCAATGGGAATACCTGGTCTCTTTCAGGATCTAACCATGAGGGTTTTTTTTTTGAATGAATCCCCTTAGCCTGCACTTGATGTAAGTGCAGTTGAGAAAGAGAATGGAGTTTCACCAAGCTTTCTCAGAAAAAATAAAAAGAACTTGCACAATATTCTTCTGAATTTGGCAACTTTAAGTGTTATCGCACACAAGGAAGTTCTTGAAAACATAATCGTATCTTGAAACCTGTAACAACCAAAAGATATCTGATAGAGAAGCAATCCAATCTAGATGTCAAAATCCTGGAATCAAGGCCCATTAAAGGAGAGGATCCAGATGAGGCCACAAACAAGAGTGGAGAAATATGGCACATGATGGCAGCAATGCCAGAGTGGGAAGAGGACAGCCACACACCTGTCCAGGCTGATGGCCATCAGCGGAAACTGGGTAGCAGAATAGGTGAAAGAAAAGAGCTCAAAAAAGAAGAAGAAAAAAAATTGGACAACATAAATTAATTTATGAAGAGTTGACACCCCCACAAATATAGCTGCCATAATGAGGGATGAGAGGTCCCCAAAATCAGCGATGGAGAGATTCAGGATGTAAGTGGTGAAATAATTCCTCTTAATGGAAAAGGCCAGAAGATAAATGGTTCTTCCATTTCCTACCAGGGCTAAAATGCAAATAAGGACAATGAAGCCATTGATAAGATTTCGTGTTAAATTATTTGGATTATCTGGAAAAGACATTTCTGATATTTTAGAAGTATTCAGAGCACTTTCCACCCATTCGATAATATGGAAAGGAGTGCTGTCTTTTTCTGGATCACTCCTTGAAAGTTCAGAAGTATTCAAAATAAGATTTGGATGATCCCTGCTTAAAAAAAAGGAAAAGAGAATCAGTTCTCTTATACAGACACACATACAAACACCCCCCCAAACACACATGTACACAAGCACTTATTTTTCACTTCCACATATCATATCAACACATATGTATTTTTTCACCATCTGATGGAAATTACAGCCCTAAAATCACTGCTACTTATGAGTGATTAATACTCAATACAGCTTTTCACCCCAAAATCTTCAAGATGCATTTCAGTAAAATTGCCACCAATTCCCATTATTAGACATTCTGGCTGAGGCCACAGTAGGGTTATCCTATATCTGAACAAGCAAAGAACAACCCAAAAAATAGGAAAGGAAAACATATATGGGTGGGGTGGAAGACACAATATTTAATGTTTGCCTTTACATTCTTTGGAGGGGGTTACCAGTATGAATGCAGGCACACAGCAGCAAATGTACATTGAAAGGACCGTGCTAGCACTAGCAGTTAGTCTTCAATGTGTAACTGATAAAGGTCTTGTCAGTATATCAACCCGAGCTTGTTAACTCTAATAAATGCTAATTGCATTTGATGGTTGGGAGAGTTGGACCATAAGGAAGGCTGAGTGCCAAAGGATCAATGGTTTCAAATTGTGGTGCTGGAGAAGATTCTTGAAAGTCCCTTGAAGTACAAGGAGGTCAAATCAGTCAATCCTAAAGGAAATCAACCCTGAATGTTCTTTGGAAGGACAGATACAGAAGCTGAAGCTCAGATACTTTGGCCACCAAATGAAAAGAGAGGACTCTTTGGAAAAGACCCCGATGTTGGGAAAGACGGAAGGCCAAAGGAGAAGGGGAGGGCAGAGGATGAGATCCCAAAGATGCTGAACTTTCTCGTTTTTCTTTGAAGACATTTTGCTTCTCATCCAAGAAAATTCTTCAGTATTGCTGAAGATCTGGAATGCTGAAGAAGCTTCTTGGATGAGAAGCTAAACGTTTTCAAAGAAAAACAAGAAAGTTCAGTTGCCTCGTGAAAAAGCATCTTGGGGAGAACTCTGACATGGATGACTGAGAATCTCCATAGACAGAGGATGAGATGGTTAGTGTAATCCACACAATGAATATCAATTTGGGCAAATGTTTGAAGACAGTGGACAGGGGGCCCTGGCGTGCTATGGTCATGAAGACTCGGATACAACTTAGTGATTGAACAACAAACGGCCCAGTGAAAAGCTACTTAGATACTCAAAAGTCAAGAGACGTATGCGTGCCAGAGTGAAGAAAGGTGGGAGAAAATAGGACATGTCCTCCTTTTGCCGGTGCCTACTAACCTAAGGTTAAAGGATGTTGCAATCAAAAGTTCTGACGAACATCAGGTTGCTGATCTTTTTTCCCATTTAAAGGAAAAAGAGCTTGTGGACCTATAGGTAGACCATATATATGACAATTGTCATGTGATCAAGAACGTGCCATAGATTCCAAACAAAGACCTCCAAAGTTCAGTTATTCTTCTGATTACATGGATTGTACTAATGGAAAGATAACAGGAGCGATGATGTAATTCTACCTCACAATTTCTCCAACCTCCATATCTAGGGCAAATGTATTTGCAAACAGTAGACTTTTGGTTTGAAAACAAGTACAGTCCTAAGTGTGATCCAGAAATTTGAGGCTGAGGACTACTTATACATCCTTGAATAGGACAGGGGAGAAATTAACAGGGTTCAGGGTTTTATGGTGACTTTGCAATCCATTCTTCTCTTCTTTTCTTTTTCTGGGATTCTAATGGACTGAAATGAATTTCATCTCTTCTACTTTTTGTTCAGTTTCTGTTCTGTTCTTTCTATCTATACAATGCTAAAACTCTCATGTCTGTTTGATGCTTCATAATATACATAACTAAGTCTAGGTCAATAATATTTGCATCTTTGGAGATCTTATTTATCTGAGTTCTACTCCACATTTCAGAATGTTAGGTTTTTAAGACTCTGCCATCTTCATACATGCTTTCAATGGAAGTTTCCTAGTCATTCTGACCTGGGGAATGAGCTGCTGTCAGGAACCGCTTTCCCTTATCCGACTCCTGCACTGGATCAAAACTTCCTCATTGATTCTCTTGGGATGTCTTTGGACATTCACCCAACATGGGTTGGACCACCTCCATCCATCACAAAGGATCCCCATTGCAGCAGCAACAGTAGAGCAGGGAAGGAATTTTTCCTTTTGCAATATTATGAAACAAGTGGAAGACTGCAGTCCCACAAAGAAAATATTTTGTACTATATTATACTTACGTGTTGTAATGTGCATATCCAAAACGAAGGGTGTGGGAAGCGCAATTTATTTATTTATTTATGAGACTTATATACCGCTTTAAGTGCAAGCACTCTCTAAGGGTGTACACCAGTAAGCAATGTATATATATATATTTACATTGCCCCCAACAATCTGGGTCCTCATTTTACCTACCCCGGAAGGATGGAAGGCTAAGTCAACCTTGAGCCGGTGAGATTTGAACCGCTGACCTGCTAAATACAGTCAGCTAAAGTGGCCTGCAGTACTGCACTCTAACTGCTGCGCCACCTGCGATGATTGTCATGGAGATATTCTTTAGAGAGGAAGCAATTATAGTAAGTCATGATTATGATCAATAACACCAGGCAGCAAAAATGCTAATATGTGTTAGAAACTTCTTCCATATTTAAATGTGTGTGTGTTTATGTCTGTGGGTCTTTTATATAATGATCATAGGCCAATAATCAGAATCTAGGGGCTCCTTAAGGTTTCTGCCCCAGAACTATTTAACTAACAATTAATTCAAAATATATAGTAATTTTGAAAAGGAAATTTTTCTTCCCACCCTTCCTTCATTTTCAGAAATGCATCTGGGCCTCCAATCACATATTTTTCTTAAAATTCTCTTAAAGAACATAAATACCCAATACCTAATCAGAATAGAGCTAGAAGGGACCTTGGAGGTCTTCTAGTCCAACCCCTTGCTCAAGCAGGAGATCCTATGCCATTTCAGACAGGTGGCTGTCCAGTCTCTTTTTGAAAGCCTCCAATGATGAAGCACCTACAACTTTTGAAGGCAAGCTGTTCCACTGATACTTTGCACTGCTAGGAAGTTTCTCCTTAATTCTAGGTTGCTTCTCTCCTTGATTAGTTTCCATCTGTTGTTTCTTATCTTGCCCCTGGTGCTTTGGAAAATAAGTTGACCCCCCCTGGAATACTGGAATACTGCCATCATGTCCCCCCCTAGTCCTTTTTTTCTCTAAACTAGCCATACCCAGTTCCTGCAGCATTCTTCCTATCTTTTAGTCTCCAGGGCTTTAATCGTCTTAGTTGTTCTTCTCTGTACTTTTTCCAAAGTCTCAACATCTTTTTTATAATGGGGTGACCAAAACTGGATTCAGTGTTTTATGTGTGGTCTTGCTAAGGCTTTATAAAGCGGTACTAATACTTCATGTGATTTTGATTCTATTTTTGTTGACTTTAGCGAACCCCTTTTTCACAAGGCTCAGACGCGCTGCCGGAAGTGCATGGATGCCACTTTTGGAAGTCCATTCTAAGGACTCTCAGGCCCAGAATGACCCCCCGGAAGTGCATCCATGCCACTTCTGGTGGACCGTTCTGGGCCTGGTAGGCCTCCCCAGCTCAGAATGGACTTCCGGAAGTGGTGTGGACTCACTTCCAGTGGGGCACTCTGGGTCTGGGAGGCCTCCCTGGCTCAGAACGGACTTCTGGAAATTTTGCTCATGAAGAGAACCAGTTGTTCAGGTATTTGAATCCCACCACTGACTTCATTCCTCAATACCCAGAAAATATTTTTTTGACATTATGAGAATTCTGGAAATGTAACTAATCATAGATCTCAAATAGGTAAGATGTTTGGCAGATCTAAACTAACTTAGCCATGTACAATTAGACGAATGTATGTGCACTTAATTAGTAATTTCTGTATCTGATTTTTCATGTCAAAATCTTGTAATGTTTATATGTAGTCGCATTTTTAGTGGTAAGGTGGAGAGGTTATGACTATCTCATGGATTTGGAATTATGAGAATGGAGAAAGTGTAATGGATCATTGTTGATAGTTCTGAGAAATGCAAATTTAACATATGAAATGTCTTTAGTGATTGTGGTGTACTTCAGACACTGAACAACTGCCTATTGACATGTTAACTTTTACGCATGATAAGATGTAATTGAAATTGTACAGCGATAAACTCAACTACTATTTCTAGGGATTTTTACTCTCTCAATTCCTGGGTAAATGTTGACAAATCTTTGTTGACTGTTAGTTGACTGTTGCATGATTACATGATTAATCATGATTTTCTTAAGAAAACAGTTACAGCATCCTGGTGTCACATAGTGGTAAGTTCTGATTAGGCAAGGCACAGTGTGTGTGTGTGTGTGTGTGTGGTATGTGTATCTTTTAGATTATCTTTTTCAAGCCAGAAGAGAAAGTGCTCCATGTTTTCTGTAAAAGATTGTTCCCCGTTTGCTGTGATGACATTCAATCCTTTGCTTTTTATAAAAACACCTCTTCCACCTGTATCAAATTCTACAGTCAGTTCTTTGAACGTTGTCACTTGTGATGGGTGAGTGGACCGTGCTGATTCTGAATTTAGCTATTTCTGACTGTGGGGTTCTCATATTTATGCCTATAGTTTCAACTCCTTATTTTACAGATTTTATGCCATCCCTATCTCACCGTTTTTTTTTATTTTTTGTCTCTCTGACATCATATATATCAATGGTCTATTTCTTCTGACAGCCATCACCCTTGACCGGTGTGTGGCTGTCCTCTTCCCAATCTGGTATCTCTGTTTCCGACCAAAATATTTCTCCCTTGCTGTCTGCACTTTCCTCTGGATCATCTCTTTCCTCCTGGTTGGAATTCAGAGCCTCATGAAATATGTATTCTCCAGCATGATTGGATGGAGAACCCACGGATGGGTTGTCTTAATCTATCTGCTCCAATTAGACTAAGTCTGAAATTTAGTACTGCCCCCTCTGTGCCAACTGCACCCCAGTTTTAGACTTAGTCTCTTTGCCCCAAGACACGTTTTGTCTTCGCTCCTGGAGCAGAAGACTGTTTAATTCTATTTAATTACTTAGCTCAGGCTATTATTATTATTTGTTATTTTATTATTGATTCAGAATCGATTATATCTAGAAGAAAGATCAATTATCCCAGTCTGAAGCCTATTCAGGCTGACAGACTCACAATCCTCTCCCTCTAGGGGGGGGGAAACTTTTCCCTTCTTTGTTTTCCCTCAGTTAGGGACAGCAAGATCAAACCTTTGATTTAGGTCGTTTTCAGAGCCTCATCAAGCCTGGAGGGAGCCTTCCCAGGTCCCTCGGCCCCAGCAGAGAGCAGCAGGTGAGAATTTGGGCGCGGCCCAATTTTCGGAGCCGGGAGGGCCTGTCAGGCCTTGGACGACAGCTTTTCCAGCCGGCCTAATCACATGCCACCAGCTGCTTTAGGAGCCCAGGCGATTCACCCGAACGAGGGCTCGTTGCAGCTTAGACCCTAGGCCTCAAGGCCTTCTTCCAACGGCCGTTTTTTCGGGCGCGAAATTGGCGGCCACCATTTTGAATTGCCTCCCGGCGGCCATTTTGGGTGTGGCTGAAGCCCCCGGCGGCCATTTTGTATGTATCCTATTCATCACTATAAATCTGAGATCTAAACAGATCAAACGTGGAAGACTTTTAGTCATGATCTTAATTACTCTTTTCTGTTTCCTTATTCTTTCTGTTCTGTTATATGTCTCCATATTTGTTGATCATTTTGTTGACATGAGCTACGTCTGGGACTATCTTAGCTTTCCTTTTTATTTTAGTCTGAGTGCTTGCCTAAACAGCAGCATTAACCCAGTGATTTATTTTCTGGGTGGGAGAAAGAAACGAACTCAGTCCAGGGAGAGCATCAAAGTCTTGTTTCAAAGAGTCTTCGAGGAAGATGAAGCTCCTGAAACCAGACAAAAGTTTCAGACCCTTTGTAAAGCATATTTTAGCTTGTCATTAATGAGAGATATATCTTATCAGTAGAATAATGTTTTTTTCTAGCAGCAGAAATGAATTATAAAGAGAGTTTTGTTAAACATAAGAGCAGCAGTATGAAATTTCTTGTTGAGGATTGGTGAAAGATGTTGGAAGCAAGAATTTCCCCTCCACTGCTACAAGCTCTGTACCCAGGACCATCCCAGAAAATCATCAAAATGATGATACCATAACTAAAATTGTTTTGCAATTGAGATTGATTGTACAGGGCTATGTCTCAGGGATAGCACAGAGAATTGCATCCCACACTTGCTATCAAACAAATGTAAACTATGAGGGGAGAAAATGGCAACAACAAGATTCCTTTTTGAGTAGACATTCATGCAATTAAACTTTACAGACATAATATTATATCTGAGGTTCCGTCTCCTTCAACGTACCCCTTCAATATATACAAGCATAATGTCAATGCTGCTAACATTGGATGTTCTTGCTTTGACAATGTATAAAGAGGCAGCCACTCTCTATATAAGCTGTGTAGTATTTTTAGAGTTAAATTAGATGATGCTGGGAGGGGA